AACTCTTTTTTGATGGCCCATGATTTGCATAGAAAACCACTGAGCATCACCTGTCGTACATACCTAGCACATCTTGGGATCCCTCTGGACAAACATTTAGTTTGTTTAGGTTGTTTAAGGAATCAACTACATAAAGTTTTCCTTCTTCATGAGTATCAGGCAGGTTAATTTCCAAGGAAGGCCTCTCCATTGTATCTAAAAGAAATAATTAAAAGGGTAAAATAAAACATGGATATGGGAAATAACTGGTAGCAGTTGGTGTCCTGTTCTAAGGAAATGCTGAGCAGCCTTAACAGCCCTTAAAATAAAGGGATTTGAAGGACCAGCACACTTACTAGATCTTGAAGGCAAGGGTAACTCAGTACATAGCACTTGTTTATTCTTTGAGATCTTTGCTGAGTATAAGATTTCATTTCTACGTTGTGTTTGCGCACACGTGTATGCTTATACCTACATATACATATGCGTGCGTGTGGAGAAAGAGAGAAACAGAAAAGTCTATTTAACTGGCTCTACATTGATTTGAACATTAGTTATTTAGTTGTATAACTCTTTTGGTTTGGTGTGTACCAGGCAAGATGTAGAGTGACATCCTGACCACAGTGAAAGCCAAACCTTCACTAACACTGCCAGGAATGATGTCACTCAGGTCCTCTGCTTTCAGCATCAAATAATTCAGACATAAGAGAGAGAAAGCAGGTACGGATGTAGAAGATGAGCAGCAAGAATATGGGTCTGCTTATATACCTTAGAATATCACTGTGAAGTTATTATTTGTGAAAAATGGAACAAAAATAGTCTTTTAATGTGGTTCTACTCCAGATAGATGGTAGTTTTGGACAAATTAAAGCCTGATGGCAAAGTTTTTTCTTCAGAGTAATACTCCTTGCTTTAAAAAAAGCACTGGATGAGCCCGATCAGCAAAACCAGCTTCTCTGCAGAGTCTGGGTGTATGAACTCATTGAATTACTGTTCATATAAATACAGTTATGAAGGAAGATTATATATAGAAAAGAAGCAATACCTAAGCAGGCTCCTCTATGAATTGCACATTATTGCTTAACAGTCTTTTGGTTTTCTTTATGCTACCCTGACTCCAAAAATGTCTTCTAGAAACAAACTACAGTTCTAGCCATATGGAGATGCAGATGCTCTAACTAGGCATCTTAGACTACACTGGTCACTGAGAACTCTCTCTGTAATTATTGAAGGAAAAAACGTACCTCCAGGTAATATTCCTCTTATTCTAAGATTTGGCTTTTTGACCTTAATTGCAGCCTAAATGTACCTTTCCTTTGCTAGTGAATGTAAGGGGGCAGTTAACAGAGATTAGTTTAGACTTGGAATTGACTACATCTTACCCATTTAGTATTTTATCAGAGCTTTCAAGTTCAATTTTACCTGCCAAATATAATTCAGCACTTTATGTCAATGGAGGGTGTTAAGCACTTAAGGGTGACTTCAGAATCCTAGATGGGTTGAACTGCCCTCTCAATGTGCCTCTGAGCCCTCTCTCCCTCTCCAAGCAATAGAGAACGCAGCATGACCAGATTCCTAACAGCACTTAAATTAAAAACCTAAAGTTTGAGGAATACAGCCCTGAGTGTTTACAGAAAAGACTCACTCCTTCCCTCATCAAAACAATTGCAGAAGATTGTCATAATTCCCACAAACTTGAGCACACAGCCAAGTAAACATTCACTGAGCCTCAGTAAGTCGAAGACTCAGTGCTTAAATCACTCCTAACAATGGGGCTTATTCTCCTGATAGTGGAGACTGACGGGCCTACATGTGTACTTCTATATTTCTGTTTAATAGAGTGTAAGAAAAGATCGCAGCTGATTTTTTTTCTCTGTTCAGAATTGTTGCTGCAAAATACAAAGATCAGGTAGAAAAGCTGGCTTACCTAGCCTAGGATTTTTAGGTGTGCAGCAGTAATTTCAGAACAGATGGTTGTGTCCACTGCCCTTGCCCTAGACTGTCGCGTGGTGCCAGGCAGCATGGTCTGCGAGCCACGTCCCCACCAGCGCTGGCTCTGCTATCTCCCCACAAACACATCCGTGGCCAGCTGCACTCATTACGGAGCCCTGCTTTTCAACAGCGACGCGCTAAAAGTTACCACCTCGTGCACAGAGGCTTCTGGTTATTTTTAGCTTCTGAAGCGCGGTTGTTTCTCTTGGGTATTTTGATTAGTACCTCCCTGCAACTTCAGGGAAGACTCTTCTTAACTTGAGCTGTAATAAATGTGAGTACCTTTGATTCATTAATATTATGAATGATATGTTTCTGTATTCATTATTAATTATTTAAACCCAATTTCCTCACTGTGTATGTAACCGCAGTGAAGATAACCATTATTAATTCAACGAAGTCTGTATTACATTTGTGTGTTTCCATTGACATGCCAAACAAAGGAGAGAGGATACAGACATCAGTGTCACTGGCCAAAAGTATTGATTATTTTCCCAACAAACTAATCTAAACATTGGGGCTTTTGGACTTGCGCTATCTTGTACTTTAACCTTGCTTAAAGAGTATTTTCCCCATGCAATTTTTACATTTCTCCTTAAGCTGCTGTGGTAAAATTAGAACTTAGAATGAGAACACACTGAAAATTGTTCACAGAAAAAAGGAAATCAAGTCTAAAAGGAATTAAAAACCAGGAGAATGAAATGTTACTTACAACATAACTGCGTTCAGGTAATGTGCCAGTATGGAAGAAATCAGCCAGTGAAAATCACCTGAAGAAAACTCGTTCTGCTGTTCCTCTCTCTACTTTTAGACCCATAGGAGCCTGTCAAGTCCTGCAGGACCCATGAAGACAGCTATGAAACAGACTGTCCCTTTCAATCTATATTTAGAGTTCATCTTGGCTAAGTATACTGACTTCACAATATTGATCTATTTAAAAAGAAATCAGTGTATACACAGCTCTTCTTTTTATTATATTGGAATTATGATACTATCCTATCATGGAGAATGAGGTTTGTTACTGATGATCAGTATTTCATAACCTTTTGGTTTATGATGCCTTTTAAAAACTCCTTTGCTATGCAGAAGAGTTTTATCTACAACACTGTAGCTATGAATAACCAGTTTGCTATGCAGAAGAGTCATATCTACAGTATTGCAGTCATGGGTACTTTAAAGGCATAGACTAGAAAAAAACAGGGTATTCTCCTCCTTTTCCCCACACACCTTACAAATTCAAGTGGGACAGTATTACGGGATGGACTAATTTGTACAGCATCCTTAGTTGTTTAAAAAATAAATTCTGACAAACTGTTTGTGGCTACTGGCAATTGCTCCTTCGCAGACAGTTCTTTTGATCACTTTTTTCTTGCTGATGTTACAGAACCCAGTGTTACAGCACACTGGAATGACACGCAGCTGACGCTTACACAAAGGGAGTGCAGCCCAAAACAACAAATCCTTGCTGAAGCCATTCTATACATCTAAAATTTTGAACCCCTTTAAACTGACAACAAATATGCTTTTCTTTCAGGTAACAACAGAAAAGTTACCTCTTCTGACTGGTAGTTCCAACCCCAAGCTAACAAGCTCTGCCGCTGTCCAGTCTGAGTAGCCGGAGTGGTAATGCAGATGTAACAAGCTTGCTCCCTTTCTGCAGGGGTCCCCTAGGAGTCCTCCCTCCAAACAAAGATGTACAAGCCAGAAAAAAAAAAAATCTCACCTCCATCCCCAAAAGATTCCTGACATCATTCTAATTGTAAGACAAGGAGCCAGGCCCCTCCAGCTGAGCTTGAAAAGGTCTGCAAACTCACTGGATCTCTGTCGGGCAGCAAACAGCCCATGTCCTCTTAAACACTCCCAAGAAGTTGTCCTGGTTGTTGGGGCTGGCAGCTGCAGTGGAATGGGGGAAAGGGCGACCATGTGCTCAGCTCCCTGCCAGGAGATGCTGTAGAAAGCAATTTTGCAGGAGAGGAAGCTTTCGAAAGCCCTACTTTATGTAGCAAAGCATGCCAAAGGTGACCACCCAGCAGCCACCAGGAGACCAGCAGGCTTGTGGGAACAGTCTAGCTCAAAGGGGGACAGTCTTGGGCTTGGCAAACACAGGTAGACAACTTCATCTAGCTCAAGGATCAGAAGTTTCTTCTCCACGTGTGACACATAATGACAACACACGTCAATAATAGCATCAATTTCAGTTGAAGGCCTTGTTGTAGTGTAAGTAATCAGATTCTTAAGCCAAATCCTTACATAATGCATTATTTAAGGAAAAAGAAAAAGTAAGTTAGAAGGTACAACTACTTAGCATGTATGGATTTGCTGGAATAGGCTCTGCTCTAATCTGAAACTTAGAAAAAAAACAAAACCAAAAACATCGCACAAAAACAAGCAAACAAACATACCCCCAAATACACCCTCCCCCCAAACTTTCCCTTATCAGAGCAAGCAGTCATTTCCAGGGGGTGGGGTGGGGTTTTTTGGGTGTAAGCTTTACTTCCTCTGCTGGTAACATGACCTACAGTTTTAAGAATGTTTATTCTAACAAGCACATTTATTTATAGATCTTCTAGTTCAGAAGCTCCAGCTATGGAGGCTTTAATGTCTTTACTACACAGCCTCCCCACCACCCCTAAGACAGACAGCTCTCCCTTCCTGGTGCATTTCAGTCCTTTAGAGCCAGAAGCTGAGGGCAGAGGAGGAGTTTTCACTGTGGCAAACACAGGGCAGCTGGGCCGGCTCCTCTAAGGGACAGGACTAGGTGTTTTGCAGCACCAGAAGTAGTAAACATTTGACCATTACAAAACTGATGACAAATCAACAGTAGGCTGTTATGCAGACCATACATAAATAAAATATCCTTTCCAAACATGGCAAGGCAGAGTTTCATGTAGCATCTACTAAAGCACTGAGACTAACACAACCCCATGTCTGAATGGGCAAATAAACAACCCCATCTGTTTCCTCCTTTAGGTTTTGCTAGCGTTCCAGCTTTTTATTCATGTAGTAATCACTTTTACACAGAAAGCAAGCAGTGAGAAACATCTTTATTCCAAAAATTAAACATCCAATTTCAGAACATGAGAATATTGTTTCTATTTTGCATTGAGGCAAGTATTTGTCATTTCACTACTTCACTCTAAGTGAAGGTTAATGAATTTTATAGATCCATTCAGGATAAAGTCATACTCTGCAGAAATTTCTTTGTCCACCTGCCACTGAAGAGTTTAAAAAAAGTTACTAAAATAACTTCACACGAACAAGATCATCTTTTTTGTATTAGCACATTCTTACCAAAACACGGTCAGTGAATTCATTTAATTTACCTTTTATATAACGTAAGGAATCCAATCTGCCACACAGCCTTTGGCTACAGTTATCCACCTCATTGAACAGTTCAGTTACAATATATTCGCCTTTGGAACAAGTTGCAGCTAGCGTAAGTGTTACAACGTATCCCTGCACCCAGTCTTACATCAATCTATGTACAGTGTATATGCAACTAAGCAACAACATGCATTGTATTTACAGATTTTATACAACATCCCTGTGCACAAGTGCAAACTGTGATTACAGAAATTAAAAAAATTCATTTACAGGTTACAAATCTATTTTAATTATGAAATACTTAAAATTGAACCCCATGGAAAAGAAGATCTAGAAAAATTCCCCCACGTCTGCTCTTTTATCACGACATTTACTTCTAGCCTTTGTCCGAGCCTTGAATGCTGCAGAGTTGCACAAGTGCTACAAAATAAAAAGAGAAATTAATCACAGATGTTCAAAAAGCTCACATCCTTTAGAGATTTTTTTTTATGTTAAGAAACAGTTGAAAATATCTATTAATCTTTGAAGCAAATTAGTAGGCTTTCTGAAATTTATGGTGTACTATCTTAGCACCAAAGGCTGATTAATTTTAATATATATACATTTAAAGGAAGCTTGGACTGCATAAGAAAGGCTGAGCTCGGAGCTATTCTGGAAGCTGACTCAGTCTTGAACATCACACAGACACAAAGTAGCTTAAGTTTGCCCCCAGGATTAAACTTAGTAGCACCCATTCCACAAATTGTTCCTACATGGGATGAGTACATTCACAGCCAACAGAACTAAGTCATCCTCCTAAGCGCGTCCGTGTCACGCTGGAGAGTTTGAGATATTGTCTTTATACAGACCCAGTTTCTATAGGTTCCTGTATGTCCCTACCAAGAAAAGCTCGAGTTTCACACATATGGAGCATGAATCTGGCACCAATCAGCAACCAAGTCAACCTTCAGACCCCCTTGGGACAAAAGCAGTAGCAGACACGTACAGAGTGGAAAATCTAAAATATGAGCTCAAAGACACACACAAGCAAGGTTCAGTTTCATTCAGGACAATATGGGGCACTGCTAGAACTGAAGTGACAAGTTTAAAGATGACAGCTTCTGAAGTGCATGTTTGGAGTACTATTTAATCCAGGAGAAATATTATCAGTGTATGGAGTGAAGAAAATATATTCAGGTGCAATAACCTACCCTTTCAAAACGGGATATCTTCATTGTTTTAAGAGTTGCAGCGTCTAGCATTACTGGTGGACCAAGTTCAAACACATTCCGAAGAAAGTCATTTGACTAAACAAGAAACACATCAAATGTTCAGTTTCTCCTCTATCAAGTCTCCAAAGATGACTACTGTTCAATATCAAGTATTTCAGTAAGAAATAGCAGCAATTTGACACAAATCTTAGTATCTTTTGCAATTAAGCCAGCGAACATTTCTTCCTTCAATCAGAATAAGAACTAAAACTGCCCTCTTGAGAAGACTGAGACAGCTACCCCTCCCCATTGATTTTTTTTTGTCCCAGCAAATTAGACACTGTTCTGTTACATCCTCTACACAAGATTAGGCAGCTGGACACAGATCCATATGGTTTCACAACACACCAATTTTAAAATATCTGGCTGCAAAAGCAGTATTTGAACAATTTGGAAAAGCTGCTACATGCCTGGGCTCCCTCAGTCACATGGGAATGCAACTGACACTGGATTGAAGATATTAACCCCCTGACTACCATAGCAATTTGGGAGCAAATACTCCTAAGCCAGAGTTCTTGCTTCTGCCACGTATCTGAACAGATGATTAGTGAACAAGCAGTTCCTAGAACAGAGATAAGGGGCTTATCCCTTCCCTTCTGGAACGCTGTCATCATTGGGCTGCAAGTTGTGTTCATTATTTTTGACTAAAACTTTGCATTCCTTTTTACAGGCTGGAACAGGAAGAGTGGAGGCATGCAGCTTTACAGGAGCCAGTGACTACACCACTCTGCTGAAAGAGGGCATAAGGATTCAGGGAAAACCCTGAAGCTAAGAAGATACTCAGCTTGAATCTCTTCTCGGAGAAGCCTTCTAATAGCTAACCCAACATACCCAGGCTATAACGCAGAAACAGCTCACCCACATAGTTCTAGCTCACTGTAGTTCATTTTCTAAGTGCTGTCTTTTAACACTTCTAATGCAAAGCCCAGTATTTCACCAAGTTCTACTCGTGATCTTGTAATTCAGACCGAGTTACTACACAGAAGCCAGACAGGGAACAGTCTGAGCATGTTATCAAACAGCAGCTCACCTGCAAATGATATTGCATCCCCGACCCCAGAACCTCCTTGAAGGTATCGTAAGTTTGTTTTTTAACCCAGCAGTCAATGTACATGCGCTCAGGTCCAAACTTAACCATCTCTGTAGGAAAGTCACGCTCCTATGAAACAACATATATAATTTTAATTTAAACAGTCTTTTTATTAGGAATTGTATCTCAATTAACTTTATTTTCATTAATAAACTTGGCACACCAAAAACCTTCCAAATAATACGCAAATACTACAGATTGTAGTTGTTCATGAGCTGACGCACATCTAAAGTCAAATCTCATGTAACACTTAAAGCTGACATTCTTCAAGTCAGACAGTATTTTTGAAAGGAACACTTAACTTTCATCTTTAGAATTACTTTAAGAATCTATCTCCAGAAAAACAGTTCTGAGTGCAGGGGTCACCTTTCAGTCTGTTTGTAAGCCTCATTTAGTCCCCACCTTTCAAGTGCAGTGAGCTACATTTCTGACAATGGAATGTAATGAGTGGTAGAACGTAATGAGTGGTAGAGACTCAGATTCTTCTACAGGCAGAATCTCAAAGGCGACTTCAAATCACTTCAAAGCCTTCTCCTTACCTTCTGAGATGTTTAACTGTTCTGAATGTCAACTAATACTTAGTTGGTCTTACCCATACAGCAATGCAAAAGAGTAATTATCTGACAAGTAAAAAATCTAGTTTGAAAGGTGTAACATAACAAATCTCTCTCTCCTCTACTCCGCTCTTGTGAGACCCCACCTGGAGTACTGCCTCCAGCTCTGGGGGCCCCTGTACAGCACACGGAGCTGTTGGAGCGAGTCCAGAGGAAGGCCACGAAGCTGATCAGAGGGCTGGAGCACCTCTCCTGTGAGGACAGGCTGAGAGAGTTGGGGTTGTTCAGCCTGGAGAGAAGAAGGCTCCAGGGAAATCCAACTGCGGCCTGCCAGTACCTGAAGGGGCCTACAGGAAAGATGGTGAGGGACTGTTTATCAGGGAGTGTCGTGACAGGACAAGGGGTAATGGGTTTAAGCTGAAGGAGGGTCGATTTAGATTAGATGTTACAAAGAAATTCTTTACTGTGCGGGTGGTGAGTCACTGGAACAGATTGCCCAGAGAGGTTGTAGATGCCCCATCCCTGGAAGTGTTCAAGGCCAGGTTGGATGGGGCTTTGGGCAACGTGGTCTGGTGGAGGGTGTCCCTGCCCATGGCAGGGGGGTTGGAACTAGATGATCTTTGAGGTCCCTTCCAACCCAAACCATTCTATAATTCTATGAAATAATCCATTAAAGTGATAGAAGTTTGAAATTTGTCTTAAAAGCTTTACTCAGAAGTTATGTTACTAATCAAGTATTTTTAGAGTCCTGCTTTGTGTATTGTTCTCTTAGTCTGGGTATGGAAAACCAGAAGACTACAGCACAACAATTAGGACAACAACTGCCCCCACACCCAATTACTTCTTTGGCTGCTGACAGAGGTGCCATTTGGAAACATACCTTACTAGTAAGGTGCTTTTTGTTATGCACAGCAGTTCAAGAGGTTTTACAATAAACCTTGTCACAGAATTCAGGACACCAATTTGGATAACCTACGAAGTTTTGTATGAAAAAAATCTGCTCATGGCATAAAATAGAAAGGATTTAGCATTTACAGTGCAATGTTTAGCCTTCTTTAAAGAAAAAACAAAACAAAATTCTTCAATATGGAAATCAAGTTTTGAGTAAAATAAGCAAAGTTTGACTTTCTTTGGTCTACATTCCTAAAAAAGCAGTTATATTTTGTGTAAGTGATCAGAATTTGAAATCTCATTTAAAATATTTTTTTCCTGTTGCTTTCACTGAAACAGTATCTATTTAATAACAAAACCATTTTCATTAACATATACACTACACAGTTACAATCCAGACATTCAAAGACAGACAAAAAAATCACCTCAACAGCTCGTAGGACATCTCTGAAGACAGATCGCTGCTTTCTTTTATCTACCTTGGCTCGGTGCTTGTTTCCATCTGTAGCCAGAGCTCTTAGTTTCTCTGTTAGAAGTTCCATATCTTCATAAAAGAAATCCTAGTCCAAATTAAAAAAAAAAAAATCATTTTCTGGCCTTAATATCTTTCCCTGCAAATAGAAAAACGGATCTCTCCAAATTACAGCATGTAGAGCTCTACAACCTGTTACTTCGTTATTTAAAGAGACAGAGATGGCACTGACTTCCTGCGGTTCCATTTGCAGCATTTAAGCCAGTAAGAATAAAGCCACAGCATCCAGTTTACCAGTTATGACACTATCAAACCCTATTCTGGTAATCAGAGCCACATGAAACAGTACAGCTCTTTCAGTGCACGTATATCTGTGCCAATCTGTTCTGCTCCATAATCCCAAGGGACTGCCTGCCTAACTGATCTGCTCAACCTGGCTGCTGCTCCTGTCAACAAGCTGAGGGCACTTTCAGGTTATCAGCACAGAATCCATGCTTCTGGAGATGAATTGCAAGTCAGTATTAGACTGACAGGAAGGAATATTTAGACGTAAGTCTTGTATGGGGTGAAAAATTAGGAAACAGTCGGTTTAAAGAAAATGCTTAACAGAAGGTCCACTCTAAGTAAACTTTAATGTGTAATTATTTAATAGGAAGTATCTTCTCCCTACCATGTGCTGACTCAGTGCTAGTTTACCTGGATTAGTAAACCACTTACGTAAAAACAAGTAACTTATCTGAACATTTCGTCATGTCACCTGCCTAGACTGAGTTTACTGCATGCTTTTTGAAAGAAACTGGTCATAGGCAAAACACAGTAAGCATTTTAACCTGCACTGATTGCTAAGGATCCAAAGAGAATCACTTGTAATGATTAAAGGGGTGTGTCCTCAATGGAACAAAAAAGCTTTTAGTGAATATAGTCTTGTTTGTTAATGCATTTTAAGATTTTAGTTACTTGCGGTCAGTTTGATTAAAAAAAGGATCAAGTTCCGGTCTCATTTTCTTTTCTTTCAAAGTTGGCTTCCGTAGCCAAGAGACTGAACTCCCTACTGTTTGCAACTATACAGAAGTCTCAGGAAATTGTTTCAGATTATGCAGTGTTAGTGTGTCATGTATCCTGACTCAACTGGAGTTATCTTTTCACTTTGGACTTTCCTTCAATGCAGTCAAGAAAACAGTTCAGAAATTAGTTAAGGCATACTGAAGAATGTAAAGGCATGTTTAGCTGTGTATGAGGTAATACCGAGAAGCTTGCACCTCATCCAACTCAAAAGCAAACCCCAAGAAATCTCACCAAATGTAGCAATACTGGTATCTGTGCAAAATTTTTACAAATCCTGTCAAAATCTCCCCCCTTAAATTGACTGACTAGTCCCCAACTGACTAAAATAGTCATAAATGCCATGAAACTGTCATGCAATACTAGTTATTCTTCTCAAGGTACCTAAATAAGGATATTGAAAAAACAATACTGGAAGTCAACATGGTTTCTACTGAAGGATAGATTTTCAGCTGTGAGAGCAGCATTGTGCAGGTTGGGAATCACTGGAATTTGTCTTCAGAAAACTAAGTATCTAATGAGTGTTTCCACTATAGTAAACAAACCCGTTTTATCCTAGAATCTCTCTAGGAATTTTTTTTTAATTCGTTTGGTTTGTTTGGTTTTTTTATTAAAGCTGGCATTGGATTTAGATTTTAAAGCTTGCACACTACATTTCTAGTTGCTCTTAAGTACTGTTTGATGTGTTTTGCTATACTGGTTCTGTTTTGCAATATGGACATTAGTGTTAAAGTGACAGCTAAATTGCTGTGAATCATTCCTATATGCAATTAGACTGGGACAGACTCACTACGAAGAACATAACCCAGTGAATTATATGCCACTTGGTGAGATCCAGGGTGCTATACAACACAGGTTAAATAATTTGTTATCATCCCAATGCAAGCAAATTTAGCTGCTGACGTCTACTTACAGCATCTGTTTCGCGGGCCAGTTCAAACAGAAGGGCTAGTGTTTCTCCGGCAGCTATTCTCATGTTGAGATCATCACAAGACAGCAGACTTGGAAGTTTATGCAAGTGCCTAAGGAGTAAGTCACATGTCATTAAGATGTAATTTTTGTTGACACTGCTTCATGGCATATGAAAACAGTCATTACAAATTTTGTTTTCCAAGAAAGATGCTCACATTTCAATTTTCTTCTTCACTTCATTCATTGGACAAATGGTCAACAACAGTGTCCATGCTAAGAGAGCACTGATGTGAAGCACAGTATTATGGGTACTTGATACACCATTAGTGTCTCTATCCCGCTGATAGGCCTTTGTGAAGATGTTTTCCAGGCATTCCATAGTAGAATACAGTTCCTGAACAGGGGAAAAAAGATCATGAAAGTGGCTTAAGATTCACACATTTTCATATTGCCAATTTATTAAAAGAAAAAAAATAAATATCCTCACCGTAATGTCATCAGTGACAATGAAACAGCAAATCCCTAAGCAGGTTGCACACTAGACACAAAAGGAAAAAGTGTCAGTATTTGACATTAATGTTACTGTTGACCAAACTTTCAAACTTTGACCTTTGAAATTTAACATCTGGAGTAATGGAAACTTGAAATTAAGGCCTTAGCGGAGTAGAAGTCTTCAACACTGTTTAATTCAGCTAGTTTGTAACAGTTAGCTCTCAGTTCCTGTCTACTCTCAGGATGATTTTACAACAAACTACTCACAAGCCTTTTCATGCTGTATTATTTAATGTAGCTTACAAAGCCATTCCAAAAAGCTACCCGTAGCACTCCTTTCACCCAGTTATTTTAAATCCCATCAGGATTCACTAGCAGAACTTATGCTGATAAGAGAGCAATGGACATATGATACTTATTCACAGCTGTGGGAAACATTTTCCCCTCTCTGCCCACTATTACAATTAAATAGCATGTAAACACTGGACTCCAAGCCTTTCTTAGAACTTTCCAACTTTTCCTGTGAGGTCGTACACATCCCTTCCCTATCCCCTATTCTACTCCACCTCCTCTTACAAAGAGTAAGAAAACAATGTTTGAAAGTGATGATTGCACTAAACACACAGGTCTCAAAATTACACTTTGGCCAAAAGGCCGAGAAGTGAGAAGTTGGAGAGTATTAGTTAAAACTCTGAAGTTTAAAAAAAAAAAAATCTTGGCAAGAGCTTTAGACTGTTTTCAGTCAACATTTCAAGTGTAACGCTGATGTACAGATGAAGTGACTGGATGAAAAATTTAAAATACTTTTGGTGGTACAAATGTATCAAGTATGTAGTTCTAGATCTGTATTTAATTTTATCATATATATTTGCACAAGTAACATTCCCCTGTTGTTAAATTAAAATTAATACAGAAAGGATATATCAATATGTCAGTAGGAAAACTTTCATTTTTTTTCTACAGGACTTCAATGTCAGCCCTCAGAACTGCAGTAAGGAAACTGCAACATAATGAGTTAAGACACTTGACAAAGTACTAGATGTAACAGCTCTGTAAAGAAGTTCCTGGGTTGGAGAATGACATTCGACCTTCAAGTGGAACTTTTTAAGCCAGTGAAAACTGCTATGCATCATTCAGAGTGTATGTCAACATTCTGAGTTTACACTGCTGCAGTAACCTTTAGTTTTGCATTACACAATAGTGAGTTGGTCAAAAACTGCCCTCTGACCCCGCCTGGCAAATAAACATTTTATACTTACAGCCTGTCTGGCCTGGATACTGGCTGTTCCATCACAGACAATTTTCTTCAGAACTGGACCAAGGGTCTTAAAAATCTCTTCACTTTCAATTCCTGACCCCATCTGCACACACAGAAGACATGCCAGTCCGGCAGCTGCACACTGTTCGTCGCTCTTACCTACAGATTAACGTACTATGATGAGTAATCACCTTGTGCATTGCTTCTTTCCTTTAAAGATAATAGTCTGAAAACTTGCAAGTGGAAATTCAGAAACTAATAGACAGAAGATAATTTCAGTTCATTTTCTAGGTCAGTTAAAATATGACATCTAAATTCAAAAAAGGAATGTTGTTAACATAACTAAATTATTAAGCACTCTATGAAGTACTAAAGAAGCCTTGCAGTCTAAATTCCTTTTAAGCACTAAGCTATTTCTCATAGCAAGCATGTTAATTACCTTTCTTTATGCAGCGTTCAATGCTATCAGTTAGTGTCATTCTCCTTTCCATGATAAATTCATATAGTATTTTAGAAGAGAAAGCGCTTTTCAGACTTTCAAGAGCTGCTTGTCTTGTCTTCGCACTGTTGGAAGAAAGAAGGAAGAGCTCTTGAAATCAGCACACACCAATTAAAGCTCAGCCTTTCTTTTCATGTTAGTTTATATTTGTCTGTGCCCAACAGAAGAGTAACCCACAGAAGTACCATGAAGTATGAAATGCTACGAATTGCCTCCTTCCTCAAGGACAGGGCAACATAGGTTGGAGATAGGGTTCACAATAGTACACCAGGCTAGAAATAAAGTCACTCTGCCTCAAGCTACTAGGAAAGGAAAGTCTGATTCTCACTTATCCAAAAACTTGGTGGAGGGAGAAAGGTCTTTTCAGATCCAGAAGAAAAGCATGTCCTCCCTAGCATGAAATAACTGTAATTTCAGTAAGCATATTAAAAAGTTTAATGCTCATTTCCCTTTGTATATCAGAGGAAGCCAGTAAACTATGCATGAATGCATTTCTTCAAAGCATACTATACCTCTTGTCCAATGTAAGATCAATAAATCCCTTCAATTTGTATTCTAAGTCTTCTTGAGTGGCTTCTTCATCAACTTCAGGCCCTAATCCAGAGGAAATAATTTAGTCCTACTGATATACATTTTATTAGCAGACACAGTAGTATCCAACACTTAACATTTTTAATGCTAATAAGAAAGCAGTTTAACATAAACAATAGCTACAGAATTGTTCAGTATTACAGCAACAGAATGGTGTGAAGCCTACTACATCAAACTGTACCTTAAAATACTTCTAGAAAAAAGTTGATCTATTGATATACTGTGCTTTTTCTATACCTGTTTCTTATATCTGCCAAGAATGAAAGAGAGAGCTAATCAGGTCTTACATAAATTTGCTACAACTGATGTCCATCAGCTAACCCTGTCAGCAACACGTTTTCATCCAGTCCACACATCTACCCCTGGAGTACAGCAGGGTGCTCATTGTTGATGCAGTGAGTACTATCTAAGCAGCCTGTCCTATCTGGCGTCACTTCAGATGCCTCTGCAACAGTAGTTCAGTTCAGAGTAGCAGATATTCATAGGCAAGGCTCCCTGCCTTACCCCCCCCTGTAGCAGGCTTTCAGGTCCCCTCCTCCCAACAAAAGGACATTAGAGCAGCCCAGGTTGTAGAGATGGCAGAGGAGACAAAGCACAAATCTAGTTCAAAACAGGCAAATGTGACTCTCATTCTCAAACGCTTCTGCAGTTCTTACCACCTCAACTATGTGTTATGAAAATCAATGTCTTATAATGCCCCTTAAAATTCTTATTGCCTCCAAAGGTTAGCATTGTATAATTCTAATAGAAAAAAGCCTAACAGTTTCAAGAGAGGCTCATGAAACCTGGAGTATATTCTTACCAAACAAAATAACCACTAGATTAACAATCATACAGTGTTTAACAGAATGTCATTATTTTGCTACTGCTACTTACAGTCTAGTCTAGTACTTAAACTCTTAAGTCAACTCAGGTTTTATGTTTTTAAAAAGATATATAGATATAAATAAAAGAACATACCATCCTCAGTGAAGCTAGCAGGATCACTGAAGCCACTGCAGTGGCTCATAGTTTCAATTGAAGCATCTTCATCACTAAAAGGCTGCACATTTCTGGGCTGACCACCTTAAGGAAAGATGAATACAATAGTTTGGTCACTTTTCATATGCAAAAGGAAGATCTGAACACCAAAAGTAGAATTTAAGCCTCCCAACAGATTCACTCTCCCTGACTCAGACACAGAAAGCACATTTCTTTCCTCTGCTAGGTCCTTTACTCCCACCTGTTCTGAAGACCTTTTTGGCTCTGTTCTCAAAGATCGTTTGTGAATGGTAGAGAAGAGTCCATCTAGTTTTCAAAGTACTGGTAGAATTCCTAACTCTAGCTTTAGGATCTTTCTACATAACTCTAGCTTTAGGATCTTTCTACAATCACCTTCAAGTTAATGCAATTTCCTGTAACTGTGCTTTAACAATAGCTCTGTATTAATTTAACTATTAGGACGAGCTACCTTAAAAAAAAATTGCCATACAATCTTTATTTTTAAATTTTGAGATTTCAAGCCAGGATAAGCTATACATTTAGACAAACATACATTACCCAGTTCAATGCAGGATTTACAGGATTAGGTATAGTATGTGCAGCATCAGCAACGTCCAACCCTATTTTAACACTAAATTACAAATACAAGCCAAAATATCCAATGTTTCAACAGAGGAAAAAAAGTATTCCCCTCACAGGATCAAGAAGGTCTCAATTCAGTAACTTCAGCCTTTTTGAAGAAAGCAGTATTATTTTAACCAGTGTTCATCTCTACAACTTTTCAAACCTGTATCTTATTGTTACAGCATTAAAAGTTAGAGGAGTTTGACCTGATAATACTGTAATTTCTATTGCTGCCCTATCCTAGCCCTTACTTCGTGTCTAGTAAAGTTGATTAGCAAAATAGTTTCACTGTTATTTCTCCAACAGCTTCCAAACGTCACTGACAGAACTCGGAATTCTGCTCTTGCATCTATTTTTTTGTGGTACAACTGATTCTAAACTATTTAAGAAGGCAGTGCACAGTGCTCGTCAGCTTCAGGCAGGCTTCCTGACTCCAAGACCCCCCCCAAAAGCAGTTTTATCTTGGCAGAATGAACCACTGTCCAAATGCTTTCCAAAAAAGTTAAATTCACACTTCAAAAGTTTTGCAGTTCTTAGCTGTAAATCATCTACTTGTATCACTGACCATAACCCTTGATGTTTCCTATAGTTACAAAGGACAAACATTAGCCAACACACAGACCAAGAAACTTGGAAGCTCAGAGATCTGGCACA